GTCCACTATCTCTCTCATTGTAATACCTCATTTTAATAACAACAATCCTAATCCTTATTCGACTTGGTACGTATGAACGAATGCGTGGGTGGCAGTCGACAAAGCTAGGTTCCGTCTCCATCGCGTGGGCATCGTTTTTTGCTCGCGTCTGGTTGCGGTTGATATCCCCAGCGAGCGTTCCCGACACGATGCATGCGACGCAGAGAACATGCGGTCAGTAGTGACCACAGCTGCATTCTGAGACGTACTCGTACACGTGGAAACAAAGCGTCGGGTGTTCGCGGTCCAAGGCCCAAACACGAAGGTACGCCACGGGCCTGCCTACGTATGCGGAGCCCACAAGACGCACCAAAAACGCATCACGTGAAAATTGCCGTGTCTGCCAGGTACCCTTGGACTCGAAACGTGACGGCTACTGCGATGGACGATCTAGTCGCGATGGCTGCGGTTCTGGAGCCACTCTTTGGCATGTACGTATCCTAACGTCCTTGCGACTTGAAGTGCGCAGTGCGCTGGAATCAAAGGGTCTAATCGGAGGTCGTGCTCGGGCGATAGGCCTCCAGTGTCTCTTGCTTCTACGACAAGAGAGCCCCAGGGCTGGTTTCGGCAGCACTGGCTGCATGGACGAGTCGTTGTATGGAATCCTAGCTGCGATCTATAAGAGGCAACGCCGATCCTGGGCTACACAGACAATCCAGACTGTTGCTGTTGTTGTTGTTGTTGTTGTTGTTGTTGTTGTTGTTGTTGTTGTTGTTGTTGCTGGGTTGCTGGTATGAAAGATCTAGACAGGCAGTCCTTCGTTGCTCTGCGAGGTCCACGACCGAAAGTGGTTCTGCTACCGTGTTATTAGGTTGTCGAGCGGCTCCTGTCGTATGGTCGCACGTACCGTCGATCTCTTGCGCCAAGCCAGCACGTCGGCAGCTGGGTCCTCACCTATTGCAAGCCGAAGAAGAAGAATGCAGGCGACGAGCGCGCGCAACGCAGGCGGGAGTTTCCTTAGTCTGGAGAGCTCCCATACTTCAGGCAATTGTTGAGATACATGTACAAACTGCAAGTGAAGGGCAATCCTTGAGGCCACACACCTAGCCTCGCGTCGGGACATCCAATGACAAGGTGCTATGTTACGTCCATCCCTACACCTCGCATGTAGCGTAACACGGTGCAATATTGCCCCCGAAAGAACCCTTGAATGTTTTTGCCGACCAAGTTGGTTCGTACCGCGTAAAGTTGAAGAGGACTCATGGTCACGTCAGCACGTTGAATGCGATCACAGTAGATGACGTGACCTTCGAAATGGAAGAAGATCAACGTTGCCGTGAGCTATTGCAGTGCGGGAGCAGACGTTTGATTATATCACGTCATCATCGATCACGAAAGCAGATGTTGCGTCCCCGATTCTCTCCAAGTCTTGTCCTTCGACTCGGAGGTATTCCATTTGCCAACCTAGCCCACGCGCTGCAAGATGCCGGGAATGAAGAGGAAACCGAGCAGTCGGCCGTCGCCTTTACTCGTGGGTACTCCTAGTTGCACTCCGAGTTCAATCACAGTCCGAAATCAAACAGCTGGTGCACATCACATCCTGACGCCAGTGCGCTGGAAAGTAAAATCGTCCAACGCGCTCGCGCCGAACAGTCGATCATGGCCAAAATCACACGAATACAAACTCGCGTCAACACATTCTCCGTTGGTCCGAGATGTAATCCACAGTGCAATTGTAGGTCGATGTCATCGCCGTATTGCGCATCCCTCGGATCAAGGACGACGCCGGCTGGGTCGCTTTGGTATGTAGTACTCTGGTACGCCGTCAAGTCGTCCAGTACACTGCACGCTAGCGCTCAACGTCAACTGTCCTATGCGGCGCAATGTCGATCACATCATCGCTAGCCCGCAACGACGCGACCTCACGTAAACTGAATCTGTTGCGGCACATCGTTGCATCGACGACAGCCACCGCTCGAGTGTAGTCCGCTGCAAAAGTGTCCGTGCGCAGCGTCGACAAAATTCAACTGTGCCACGCACGAGCAATTGAAGAAGCCGTCGAGTTGACGCCGTCCTTTTCAGTCTACATTCGCCAAATCAGCTTTCGAACATGTACACCTTGTCGGTGGGACCAGCTGCGGACAGACGCAAGCACGGATTCTAGAACGCACGTTGAAGACAGCTTCGAAAATATAGAACGGGTCCAAGGCTACGTCGCCGCCACCCACAATACATTTGGCTGTCTCGGCCCGACTCGACGTGCGATGGACCTGCGCCACATTCTACACTCGAACGCGTCCTCGGAAGCGACGTGGCGCTCGGGTGCGTGGACGTCCGAGGAAGACAAGTACCTCGCCGCCCTCGTCCGAGCCTTTTGCAACGGCCTGCTACCAGCCGTGCCTCGAAACACGCAGCTCCGCGGGTACCTCGCCATCGAGCTTCATTGTAGCCCGATGCGCGTCTCCAAAAAACTTTGTCTCGGGCACCTTCTTGGCGAGCGCCTGCCATCCCGCGTCGGACGACGCATGTACCAGGCCAACGAAAACGCTGGAACGGCG